CGGTGCCCATCCCTGACAAGACTCCATTCCTGGACTTGACATTGTGACATTCTTTCGACATCCGGGGGGGTTGCTCACTTCGACACCCGGGGGGGTTGCTCACTTGATGTCTATCTGGAAGAAATCACCAACCTTCATGGCGCAGGTTGCTCAAACGTCCTCAACCACTGTGACGTGCATCTTCCTGCCCATCTCCCGTGAAAACATCCAGCGCCCATCACAACCTCACAAGAAGGAGACGGGAGTGCCTAATTACATACATGCTGTCTCTCAGAGCGTGTATATGTACCCATAGGGGGTATAGGCTATAGGATGGTATATAGTATAGGGACGAGTGTCATGGAATCCAGCTGAGCAGCGCCGACTTTCTTCACTCTTTTCTACCTGCTGTCCTGCACCGTCCTGCGTCATTGGCTGGACGGAGCACGATCTCAGCCTGCCCGCGATGTTTAAGGGCAGGAGTGGCAGCCGCAAAGATCTCTCTGCAGTGCCAAGTGAAACAGCTACTAAAAGGCCCTAAAGGTTGGAGTCTGCCTAGGTTGTCCGCCAAATGTTTGACAGGTGCTGTGCTACTAGAGTCTTTGCAGCATGAGGATGACATATAATTTTGGAACATGAGTCACCCAAACGCTCCGTGAAACCAGCCCGACCGGTCCCTCAAAAGGATTTGATTCCCCTCCGGTCCAGGGTCGCGTCTGGGAAGGACAAGTTGTAGCAACAGAGGTGGGTCAGGACCCGAACTAGACTATCCCAGGAGTCCCGGTACCCCAGGTTTTCCGGGTCCTATGGACACGGTCGCTCCCAAGTGGGGTTATCTTATAGGTTCTTCAGCGGCTAAGCATGCAGTCCTTCACGTGGGCGCCGCTGGAAAACCTCGCCTGCACCTTGGGGCCTAGATGGCGTAGAGAGGGATGTGAATACTTGTTGCAGGGGTTGAAGGGCTATCTAGTGTTAAAGTCTTTTTTGTTTAGTTGGTTTTGAGTGATCTGCGGGGCGAGGGCGAACCCATTCCGGTCCTTCGGGGTCCGGCGTTTCTCCGGGTTTGGGGTTTATTCTCTTGATTTTTGCTTTGCATGGTTATGGGGAGAACGGGAGCATGCGACTCCTGTCGGTTTCGGTTCAAGGGACGTTGAGCTTCCCCCCGCGGGCGGCTCTTCCCTTGGCGACCGGCAGGGGAATACGGTAACGTGGTTGACCCTAACGTTATCGTGGGTGAGCTGGGTAGGCTTCTTTGCGGGCTGGTCTGTTTGGGTCCTACGGTGTCATCCCAGAAGATTGGCCAGTTTGACGGGTGTTCTGTTGAGAGGTCGAGTCCACCATGGCTAGGAAGAACCGTTGGTGTGGGGGATCAGCGGCTGTTTGTCTTGCTCATGGGGAGAGGCATCTGGCACAAGCACTGTCACAGCCCTCATATGTAAGTAAAAGTAGGGTGCAAAAACGAAGATTTCGTCAGCAATTTAGATTACAGGCTCGGAGGCGAAAGTTGGCCAAACTTAAGAAGCACACATGTTCAAACAGAGCTCGGGAACGGCGGGTTAAGCTTTTAGCTGCCCAATGCAAGGCGGCCCGTAAGTTGAAGCTCTTGACATGGAACACCCGGGGGTGGGGGGCGGTCTACTCGCAGTTTGATCCTGTGGTACGGACCCGGAACATGTTGGATTTTTTGGATTCGAAGGGAGTGGGGCTTGCGGTTCTTACTGATGTTAAATTTCCTGTCCAAGGACTTCGGAAGTTTCAGAGTGAAGCACAAGAATGGATGGTTCTGATCACGGGGCCCGTCGCGTTTGCGATGACCTCAGTCTGGTTTCAGTGGTGGCAGGCCGGCGGAGCTCGATTCTTCACAGGTTCCAGCACTAGTGGTAGTCCGAGAGTTGCCAGTATCTATTTTGGTCGGGTGGGTTGGAAACGAGGTTTGTTTGTTGTGGGGGTGTATGCTCCGACCTCGAGAGCCCCATTGTCGGATCGAGATGCGGTTCGTCGGCAGGTTTTGGAATTGTTGGAACAAGCTCCTGGCTCTTCACTTCGTGTTGTTCTTGGCGATTTTAATGCGGAATTTGGTTTACCGTTGCAAGAGTGGGGGGATGTTTTAGGACCTTATGGGTATCCTCGTCGCTCGCAATCTGGCACTGAATGGTTGCAGTGGTGTCGGTTACATGGTTTCATTGATGCGGCTAGTTTTTATGCGCAGCATTCCCGGTGGACATGGTGGCATCCTAGATTTGGCACTAAACATATTTTAGACCACTGTTTAGTGGATGGTAGACATCGCTGGCATTTGACGCATTGCAGGGTTTTTCACCCAGTACCCCCTCTGGGGCACCTACACAGATCATTGCCCCGTCCTTTTGACATTAAGACAAGGCAAGATGTGGGCCCCCCGTGACCAACCCCCCAATAGGGTTAAGCAGCCTAATGTGGCCAAGCTTTGGGGGATTGGGGTTCATGTGTGTGACTTTCGGCGGAAGTTTGAAGAACAAGTAACTTTGGGATTGCAAGAGTTACAGCGCTCCGCGCCTAATGTCCCGGCGTCCTGGTCTGAGGTCGTCTCTGTCTGTCGCAATGCGGCTTTTGAGGTTCTAGGGGAGGCACGCCCCACACCCAAGCGGCCCTGGTTGGAAGGGCACTGGGAGGCATTACAAGGTCTTGACACACAGGTGACAATGGCCCAACAGCAAGATCGTTTGGTTCGACAGGTGGCGCAACCCTGGGATCCTGTCCATCAAGCACAGGTCATGCAGGCTAGGCTCATGTTGCGTCGAGCTAGAGCGGAGCGTAAGTACCAATTGGGAGTATGGGAGGCACAATATTGGGGCGACCTTGCCCATCAGGCTTTGCTAGCTGAACGAACACGCAACACGGGCGAACTGTTTCGTTTGCACACATTGTTGGGAGCACATCAGCAGCTACGGAAAAGTGATGGGTCTCGCATGACATACATAGATGTCGAAGGTGAAAGGGAAGCCTGGAAAGCGCACTTTGCCGCAATTCAGTCGGGTGCTGGGAGGGTGCAGGATCGAGTGTGGCAAAACATCCCACGCGTAGCGGCGGTAGCACATTGGTTGGCTGAAACTCCCACGGCAGAAGAAGTTGAGCGGTGTATCGGACAGATGCATAATCGTAAGGCGGCTGGGGAAGATGGGTTTGTGGCTGAATTTCTCAAGTACGGAGGGTCATGTTTATTGCACACGGTACATGAGATTGTGGTAAAGGCTTGGCGTGCGGCGAGTAGTGGCGAGCAGGGTGAGGAGGCGGTTGAGTGGCCGGTTGAGTGGCAGGTAGGGTTGGTTGTTCCACTGTGGAAACAAAAAGGGAGTAAGGAAGACAAGAACACATGGCGGGGCGTAACCTTGTTGAGTGTGGGCACAAAGGTGTTGGCGAGGTTGGTTGCTAATAGGCTGGTGCGCTGGTGCGATTCTTGGTTAGATGAAGCACAAACTGGTTTCCGTCCAGGGCGTGGAATTGATGATGTGTTGCAAGTGTCTCGACGGGTGGCCGAGGAAGTGGCCCGGGTGGATAGCGATGAGGTGGTCTTGCTACGATTTTTCGATATAGAAAAGGCCTATCCACGGGTCTGTCGACCCGCTATGTGGGAGGTTTTGCAAAGGAGGGGGTGTCCTGACGGGATGATACGTGTGCTCCAAGGTTTGCATGAACGGACAGCGATGAAAGTACGGGTGCATGGAGGGGTATCCACTGCGTATTACCCGGAGAGAGGGCTGCGTGAGGGCTGCCCGAGCAGTCCGGTTTTATTTAACATTTTCCACGATGCAGTGATGCAGGATTATAGATGCCGACGCCGTGAAGCCGCCGAAGCTAGGGGACAGATGCCTGGGCTGATTTGGGAATATAAGGTAGATGGTAAGTTATGTAAGAGACATGTGGGTCGTTTGCAGGTTGGGCAGGAGACGGGTGAGGTGTTGATAGGTGATTTCGGCTACGCCGATGACACTGGAATTTGTGGGGTGGCTGAGGAAGTGGTTGGTGCTGAACAGTTGTTTACTGTGGTGTGTGGTGATTGGGAAGAGCGGGTGCACCCGCAGAAAACGGAGGGCTTGCGCATTTGTGGGCAGGGAAGGAGTGCGATCGATGTACCAAACCATGGCGAAACTAGGGCGGTCAAACATGTTGGGGGATGGGTGTCGGATAAGGGTAATGCTACTGCGGAGACAACTCAGAGGCGGGCGCAGGTGACTCGTAAGATGATTTCGGTTTCGCGGTCATGGTCTTTTCGGGGTTCTAAAATTCGGGGCAGGGGGGGTTCTCTCAAGCGATCTGTGCGGTTGACTATTGCCAAGGCCGTAATCATCCCCACGGCGTTGTCCACTGCTAGAACTCGCGCTTGGAACTCTCTTATGATCACTCGTTTGGACCAGGTGGTCAAGCAGAGTTTGTTTAAGTGTTGGGGTCTTCGGTACAGTGATTTGCACGAGTATCATATTTCGTATGAGATGCTGCGGCGGGCTGCGGGGTGGCCTTCGACGGCTCACTTGGTAATGAGAGCGGCTCTTACATGGCTCGGACATGTAGCTAGGATGCCGGTGACTCGGAGACCTAAACAGGTTTTGTTTGGGTGGTGGAAGGGGCGGACTCTGAAAGCACACACATTTGTGGGGCAGGCTCGATGGTTGGAGCGTTGTTTGGCACGGGCTGGGATCCCTGTTGGCGATTGGTTTCGATTAGCTCAGAACCGAACAGCCTGGCGTAAGCGGATCTATGATGCTTTTCCTGAACGACGGTTAACTGTAGCTGAACAGCATCGTTTAGATATATGGACACCTGGACACCCTTTGCCTGATAACAGCCCCCCTCCCCCACGGTTGGTTCCACTACAGCCGGATGTTGATGGACGTTTTGTGTGTTGGGTATGTGGGCTGGCTTTTGAACATGGGAATGTCCGCCAAGCGCATTATGATACGGTTCATGGAGTGTGTTGTCCTGAGTTGGTGACTACACCGTCATACCAATGTGAACACTGTTTGGGGTGGTTTCCGAAAGTTGACATGCAGAAGTATCATGAGTGTCCGGCCCGTGAACCATTGGAGCGTTTACGAAAGGTGGATCGCGGAGGGGAGGTGCCGGATGTGGCAATCGGGGATGAGCGGCCGGCTGCCTTTAGACATCTCTACACTGATGGGTCTGCTGCTCATGGGGAGGGTGGTTGGGCAGTGGTCATATATGATGCTCCTCCTTCGCGGCCGGTGCCTCCAGACTATGTGTTGTACGGTCCTGTTGTCACTGCTGTTTGGGATCCTAATTTCCTTGGGGCGGAGCGGGGGACCAACAACACGGGAGAGCTGACTGCCATTGCCGAAGCTTGTGTGTGGTTGAAGGAGCGGGGTCCGGAACGGGATGTTGGGGGGGAAGTGCTGGGGGCTGAAATCCATTATGACTCTGAATATGCGCGGGATATCGCAGTTCGTGTGGCTGTTCCCAAGTCCAACCTTGCTCTGGCTAATCGGGTTGCGGATCTTGTTGATGAGGTGCGCAGGTTGCGACCGTTGCGATTCCGCCATGTGAAAGGGCACAGTGGGGATGTTGGCAATGACGCGGCTGACATGTTCGCGGACAAGGGGGCGCAGGGGCGAAGTTCGCCGCAGTGGTCAAGGTGGTCTGATGTGCCGGCGGGCTGGGAAGTAATTCAAGAACGAGACCCACGGCTTATAGAAGCGTGTCGCAAATGTGGTAAGCGTTTTTATGATGCACATTCTCGGGGGGGTCATGAGGGTAAATGTAGGGCTGCGGGGGTGGCACTCCGTCCGGGACGGGGTCGGTGTCGGAAGTGCGGGGAGGAAACGCAACTCCGTACGGTGAAATCTCATGAACAGAAATGTACGGGGGATAGGGCACAGAATCGGGTGTGTCGAATTTGCGGCATCGTGATTGAAGACTTCCGACTTCTTCGTGTTCATGAGTTCGATTGTAGAAGATTACAGGATCGCCGGGCCGCCAAAGCTGCAGCGCCGGTCGTCAATCTGGAACCGCAAATGCGGCCAGAGGATGCGGATCGGGGGCAATGTTACAAATGTGGGATGCGGACGCTTGTGCGTAATTTGCCGGGACACGTGAACCGTTGTCGGGGATCTGAACTAGCTAACCGGACTTGTATTAAATGTGGTCAGGTGTATGCTACTGCTACTTTATGTCAAGGTCATGAACGTAGGTGTAGAGTATAGTGGGTGATGAATAATGGGGTTTCTGGGTAGGGCCACCACGGGTATACCAGCCAGGCGCTAGGTGCCCGGGCTCCCAAGTGGACGCCGAATGACAGCTACATGCTTGTCAACAGGTGGCGGGGGTGGGAAGCGTTTGCTTGCTGCAGCTGTCTTAGCCTCAAAGACGGTCTTTCTTTATTTGCTTTTGTGCTTGGGGAGGATATGGAGGCACCACCAGCAGCACCAGCACCAAATGAGGGGGTGCCTGCGGGACCGGGCGCTGCGGGACCTGATCTTGCTGGACGGGTGACGGCTTTGGAGGGGTCGGTTGATTGGTTGACTGCTAAAGTGCACCGCAATGAAGACCGCGTGGACCGTCTGTTTGCACAGGCTCGCATTTTCACGATAAATTCACAGTCCTTAGAAGCGGTTTGGACCACCCTGGGGGCGGGTGCTGATGCGGTAGGGATGGTCACTGCGGGAAGTGGGGAGCGTTGGTTGGAGGAGGTGACTAGAGCCTTGGGGATCGCGTGGCCACTAAGTGATGAACAACCGGCTCGGGATGCTATGTGCCATGGGCGGCGAAGTCGGGAGGTGATGGACGCTCTCTTTGCTTTTAAAGACGAGATTCGCAACGGGAACCTGCTGAGGGTTGAGCCTGAAATGGGAGGTGAGGGTTGGACAACCCGCAAACAGCGAACCTTTACGTTGGTGTTTCGTCTTGGGCAATGTGCAGACAGGCTTGAACGCCATTTATCTGCTACTTTGAACTCGGCACTGGCCACGGCCAATAGGAGTGGGATGGGAGGTCAGGTGCAGGCGTGGAGAGCTAAAACTCGTGGGGAAAAGCGCAAACGCGCACAGGCTAAGGCTGCGGCGGCTGGGAATGGTGATGGGGCGGGTGCGGCTGGAGCAGGTGCGGCTGCGGCGGGAGCGGGAGGAGCGGGTGCGGCGGGCGCTGGGGCTGGCGCTGGTGGCAAGGGCGGCAAAGCTGGCCGGGGTGCCGGGAAAGGAAAAGGTAACAAGGGCAAGGGCGGCAAGGGCCGCAAGGGCAAGAAGTAAAGCGCGCTCTGGGAAGGGGCTTGTGCATATTCCCCGGTGCCAAGTCCTGTACATGACGGGAGTGTTTTTAACAGCAGTAGTCCCTGCCTTAGTTGTCGAGTTGACCATACACACCTTTTTTTCTTTTTGTTTCTTGGCCAACGCCTTCGATGCATCCTGAGTGATCCCATGGATGTTTTGCACGGATGTGATGGCGCATGTTGGGGTCAGATCTTCCATTCTCAATTGTTTTTCGTGGATCCGTTGTCTTTGTGGATTTTGATGAGTTGTTTAGTGTTATGGTACACCCTAACTGGTTGTGGCAAGGGATGGCCGGTGCGCCATGGGACTAGCTTGAGGTATGGCGGCCATGGCGTCGTTGCTTTGGGCCACCTACACCGCGTCGATCTTCTTCTTCTTCTTCTTTCTTATAGGTTCTTGGTCATATGTTATAGGTCTTATAAGGTCCCTTGCTGGTTCACTTAACCTGTCTTAGTAGATCTTCTCTCTTGATGTTTGTTCGGTCGCAGGGGTCGCAGCTCGAAGCGGGTAGCAGGTCGAAGGCGGGTAGCAGCTTCCCCAGTTCCCCAGACACTCCATGTAGACGTACTTGACGCCTTAAACCACCCCAATGTATGTAAATATACCTAGAACCTGAATGACCTCTATTTTGGATCAACAACCACCCAAAATAAGGTCTTTTCCTATCAAAAAAGAGGTCAAGTGGGCTCTAGGTATATCTATATATATATATATATCTTGTAAATATGCCAGTCCATGGTGTTTGAGATTGCCACAACTCTTGGGACACTCGTTGGCGAGATGGTGCTCCAAATCTGGTTGGCCCGACTTTGGGGCAACGAAATGGTTTTTAGTGTTAAAGATTTGGTCGGCTCCCACGACTCACACGGCTTCCATTTTTGGGACCACTGCCTGGTGGACTGCCCAGAAACAGTGGTCAAATACCGCTGTTTTATGATGGGCGGTGTTGGGGTATCGGGTGGAGAGATGGAGAAAATGCCTGTGGTAGAGTAAAATCATGCCAAAACATCTTGAAGTTGTTCAGATCGAGGTTTAAAACCCATATCTTCCAAACATTGGACATTGCTCATCCTGTTCCTTCGCGCGATTGGGTGTGAAAAACCTTCACAAAGTACAAGCCTCCACCCAGTTCCCAGAATTTGGACTTCCAAAAGTGATGGAATTTGGGATTGCAACCCGGGGCGCACTGTCCCGCGCTCCATGTGGTCCTCTGCGGCTACGGCGAGAGCGGAGAGATTGCAGGTCCCAAACGGTGGGTCTCCTATCCCATATATGCCGATCAGGCCAGGGGTGGTTTGGGGGGTCAATGTAGGCATATATGCCATACATGGAGTGTCTGGGTATGGTCTCCTTTGACAAGGCCGACATGGAGTCCGGCACGCCTGGATCCTGCGTGCCGCATCTGCGAACCGGTTCACGTACCCAGACCCGTACCCAGAACTGTCGAAGCGGACGACCAAAACGTGTTTAGAAACGAATTGGCACTTAGAAACGGGTCTGCGTCCATGTCTTCTTGGAAGTTGGTTGGACCAAAACCATCCCAAAACCAGCTTTGGCTCGTCCTCTCCGTTAGGTCGGTGTCTCTGTGCCCTGATCGTTCGGACCCGTCCGTGACCTGCGGGCCGGTGGAACTGGTGGAACTGAAGCTGTGGAGAAAGGAAGACCATCCTAAAGTGGATCAACACAGGTTGAGTTGGAGAGATCATTCAAATAGGTTATTGTGTAGATCCGTATATCCCAGGACCCACTGGTTGCAGGCCGACCTCTCATAACATGTGTTTGATGTTCTTGTTGCGTCCTCCACCTGACCTCCACCTGACCTCAGCCGGAAAAAGCGTCTACCGCGCCACCTCCGCCACCTCCACAGCAGCCGGCCGTCGACGTGGCTCCCTCGATCGGATGCGGCTGCGGATGCGCGTTCCTCCCTGCGACGCGGGGCTTTCGGAACGAAAGGATCGACGGCAGCGCAGCGCATCGGAGCTAAGAATGCTTGATACTATGCCAGGACTCACGGGAGGGAGCGCGGGGGCACTGGTGATTCTTTTGTAGTAGGTAGGCTGCTTTATATCATCCTTTAATTCTATGTATATTCCCCTGTTTCCAGTGAACACACGAAGATTCTTTTAGAATTCCAAGACCCTCCACTAGTTCCAACATCATCACCAAAGGCCAAGCAACCGATCCTCATCTTCCGAAGTGGTCTGCTATGTAAATTGATAAAGATATGTAAAATTGTAACGTAAAGTATGTGAGGAAACGCTTCAGCGGCAGTGTTGTGCTGATGATATGACAAAGGCTTGTGCATTTCGCCAGAATGACGTCAAAACTGGACACAAACATGCAAGAGGAACAGCCCGACCGACATGTTTCCAATTGCTTTGATGGTAGAATCTTCAAGTGGAACATCATGGAACATCTTTGGACGGATGTCGGCCCCCGCATCAACATCACGAAGCACAAAGTCCTCATCCCTCGGTGGTCTTGATTGAGAGAAAAGGAAAGGAAGCCGTTGAGGAATTGAACTATAGAAAGGTTCCAGTCGAAGAAAGTGAGGCGCAAAACAGAAAGTAAGGAATTGGTCCCTCGCCCTTGCACTGCATCCCACTGACTGAGATAAAACCCCTCCTCAAATGTGTACAAACAACAAATCTTTGACGGCCAGCAAGCAGCATTTGACGGCCGGTCAGCAGCCTGAACATGCGGGGACTTTGAACAGTTTTGAGTAGCCACCAGCAGTCACAAGACGGGGTGCGATCCATGGAGGTTAGGGGTCCCCATGATCCACTCACTTAGGGACTGCTGGCACATGGTTGTTTGAGCAGCAGCCGTCACGTTGCGCTGGGCTGATCTGACACACGTCACGTGTGGTCAAAGCGGCTGTCCCCCTGTCTGACAGGATTTGTAGCAACCTTCCTAAGTCCTACGGAAGTTCAGAGTGCCACACATTTGAAGCTCAAACTCTGAGCAACACGTTAGCAATTGAAGGATATCCGTGATATCAGGTTCGGTTTGCACCACCCTCTGGCTGCCTTTTAACATCTTTTAATGGATGCATATTTTTTTACAAACCACCAAAACACCTGTGCCAATCCCCAACATCTATCAGCTAGCATTCCATGCTGTGCACATGACCCTTGTCATGACCCTTGTTCCTGTCCCGCCGCCATTCGATGCCTGGAGGCTCGCCGCCCCGTTCTTCGTGGAGAAGTCTCTTCGCCAGTTGGTCGAACTTCAGCTCCTCAGCGGCCCGCGGAGCTCTCCGTGCGTGGGACGGGCCGCCGCCGTTGTTGCTCGTTCGCAGCTGGTTCGGGGGAGGAGGACGGAACCAGGTTCGATGATGTGAGGACTTCGATGGAGACGGTTCAGCTGAGCTTCTGAACCCAAATCAGATCGCAGAATCACTTGAAGCAAAAAACGGTTCTTTTTGTTGGACACTCCCTGAGCTCAACTTGGCTTCGTGGAGTTCACCAACTGGGATCTGGTCTTCGGATTTGGTCATCCGAACTTGGGGCCATGCCATCCACATCCAAAAGAGAGGTGGTTCCTGATATTCATGCAGGTGGTCTGCTATTGCCACCTGCTAAGCTGCTAGGCGCCCGTCCCTACACTAGTTGCCATTTTGTTGCTGTAGTTGCGAAACGATGGACAACCGGTCAGTTCACACCTTCATCTTCCTCTGGTCGTCATGTTTTACATGTCTTTACTGGGTATACATGGGTATACGGTTATACGATGGTAGACGGTATGAATCCAACGACAACAGCTATAGTGTTGCAGAACGTGTTCTTTGACGCGCTGCAGTGGAGTTCCCCTCCTGTCGCGATGGCCCGCTGCGCGATGGCCACGTGATCAGTCCAAAGCCGGAGGTGGGAGCCCGACAGCGGAAGCGAGTCCTATATCATCCTATATCCTGTATGAGGACCTTCTCAGAACCCAAGGCTCCCAGGGCTCCGAGTCCTATATACCCGTTTGGGCTTTCACCATCCCATCTCCTCAGGTGACCGGTGGTTCTTCGAAACGGATGTGGCCAGTGAGCCCAAACGGGATAATAAAGGTAGACATGTCTGATCTTTCCCTCTATCGGAATCTTTTCCATCTGAAATGTATGAATTCTATAGACCCAAAGCTAAGTCACTTAATAAGTCTCATATGATCTAATAGAGGCTATTTACCATGGACCGGGCAAGTATAGACCCTCCCCTTTTCTCCCCGACCTCGATCATTCTGAACCCAAGGCTCCAAGGAAGCGTGGCCTTCGGCGATCTTTCTCTCCACCATGGCGGACACCTTCGTCTCGACCCGAAGGACTGTCCACCATCCCCAGTCCCAGTCCGCTGTGCTGTCCACCATCCCCAGTCTCACGACCTGTGGAGGAAGCCTCGCCGCCCCAGAGTACTCCCCCCCAGAGTCCAGCTAAAAATGACATTCCAGTCAGATGGACGATCTGGGATCAGTCAATGAACAAGCCAAACACATCGATCGCATGACCTGAAGATCTCCAAAAATGTCATAAGCTTCTTCTGAATCAGTGACATCTGGACTGTTGATTCATACCACCCTCCAACCAAAATGATTGAACTCGGTTTTAGACCTCCACATATGGGGGTGCTTTTTTCACTCGCAGTCTACATGATTGCGGTGTGTGGCTTTCATCCACCTGAGGCGGTAGGTATGTAGGTGGCAGCGTCGTTTCACTTGACTTCTGGCAAGAAAGGATCAAATATTTGGACACGCCCCATGAACAAGACCCTGTTCAAAAAAACGTCGGCTACAACTTGCCCAATCCCTTATGACTCCCCTTATGCACAAATCTGTGACACTTGAATCTTGTGGGAGGCCCCAACATCGCGTGGGAGGCCCCAACATCGCGTGGGAGGCCCCAACATCGCGTGCAAAGCCTTGGAAGGGTTTGGTGGAACAGACGTCGGCATCCCGGTCGCCTCACCCATGGCATCGCCCTTGGCCAAGCGCCGGCGCAGCAGTTCTCGGTGGAAATTGCCGGGCTGAACGGTCTTGGGGCTCCTGAAACGGGCGAGGAGAGGGTCTGATTCAGAGAGCCTCGGCAAACAAAGACTACCAGGACCATCCAAGGGGTGTCCTGGCTGGACTACCCCACACTACCTATAGGCTTCCATTGGGCACCCCTTGGATGGTCCAGGTATAGACTAAAGCTTGCGGGTTCTGGGCAAAATGTTCTGTGCCAGTGATCATGGAAATCCAATGCAGTTGGAAAGCTCCAGGTGATGCTGGAATGGACACCTGCTTCATCCTGCTTCTCCAGCCTCGGCACCTCTTAGTCTTCACTTCCACTACTTTCAATAGCTTAGAATTGCTTGATGAGCCGAGGAACCTCGAAAGCCAGTTTCGCCCAAACACTCCATGGGACCGACATCTATAGCTGCCAAACATTGAAACCAAACACAACCACCCCCAAGTCTCATGATCGGCAGTCCAAACGCCATATCCCTATCACACGTCGTGTCTGCGTCATGGTGTCCCCCGTCATCCCCCTCCGCCCGGAGAAGTCTCGGCTCCTGTCACTCTTCCGGCTGCTCTGGCTGGGGATCATGTCCACCTCCAACGAGTTCCGCTCGGACAGCTCTCCTGCCGTGGGACGGGGCCAACGGATGGCCCATGGCCTGCCGAATTGGACCCTCTGCAGCTGGTGTTTGGACCCTCCACTCCTGGGTACGAATTGCTTGCCCGGCAGTCCTTTTTCCTTTCCATGGTTTCCTGGAATCTGGCATCAGGCCTCCAGTCAACTACAGCGACTCTAGAAAGGGCCTTTAGGATGGATGTCTAGTTCTCGTTCAGCACCTCGTATGTTCCTTCGGATGGGCCGTCGGCCGTTGCGGGAGAACCCTGGAACACCTCCCAAACGCTCCGACCAATGGGACTGCCATACATGGACCCCCCCCTGGCACCACCCCTGGCCGTTTCTCGGCAGTCCGGACTGGCAGTCCCATGGGTTCTCCCTGGAACACCTGGAGCTAATCAGCTGGTTCATCTCTTCGATGTCAGGATAAACAACTTCAGTCCGATCCACGGTCGTTTGGCCCCGGCGCGTGCGCGTGGGCGTGCGGTTGCCTCTCTCTCTCTACCAATCCATCATCAAGTACGCTAGAAAATGGGACATGACCCTACAACAAACAGGTACTTGTACCCATTTTCCGTGGTACTTTGAGACTCCAGGTAGAGAAAACATGTCCGGTTCCAATCCAAAAGAGAAGGACCGAGATATGGGATGACGTGTTGAGTATGCTCAGACTGCTGAGGCCTAAGACTTGAAGCAACAAAATGACACAAGCTCCAAAAAATGCCAAGACCTCCTGAGACCAGAACTGGGGTTCCAGGTGATGCCTTGAGAGAGCTCCTCTGAGCAACCAACAAGAGGCATCCGAGCTCCACTGCAGCTCCACTGCTGGACAAGTAAACTTCGGCTTCGATCAGCGGCTGCCCACGGGCCCTTCGGGTCTTCACACCCCAACATGCTCAACGGCCGGCTGTTCGGACCACCGGAGATGGGCGAACCCATCCCACTAGCAGGACTAGCAGGACTGTATACAAGTCAGTCAGACCTCATGAAATTCTGGGCGTGGTCATACCAAAACACTTTAAGGATGTATAAGACCAAGTTTTACTGGGAATTTGGACTTGTAGTATGTATGCATGTCACATCCCCCCTTTGGGATACAGCTGTAACACTTTTCTGTCCCTGGCCGTGCCGTCCTCCCGTCTTTTCCCAGCTGCCCACGAGAGTGCTAAACTCGTCGTAGGACACATCACCTGAAAAGGGCGCACTTGAGGGAGTGCTGGGATCGGCTGGGACATGATGGTGATCAACCCCTAGGGCTCCTGGCCTACCTCCGTTTCGAAGGTGGTTAGGGTGGGTGCCAGGGGGGTCTAACCACCGTGTCTGCGCCCTCATTTCCGCTGAGATGATCATGTGAAGCAACACCAGGTATATAGTTCAAACTCATTACTACTAGGTGAGTGGTGCTTTGCTGAATCTACTGATTCCTATCCTCAATTCGGACAGGGAGCCTCTTTTACCATCCCTCATGCTCACCATCGGCATCAAATGACACACATGAAACCACCCGGGGCCACCAAATAGTTAGCTGCATAGCTCCAAAATGCTCAAAATCAAAGCACCTGAAACAAACATGCCATGCATCTACTGTATGCAGGCCCAACCCTCCGCCCCAACACACTCTCTTCTTCCCCATCCGGCACGCACGGGACCCACAAAGCTCGGGTGGTTCTTGGAGGTGAGGGAAAAGACATGCGAAAACGATAGGAAAAGCAACGCGTACCAGCCCTCCAAGGGGTCACCAATGGAAGCCCACACACTACTGAGAGATCTCCATTGGACACCCCTTGGAAGGTCCAGGTATTGCAACTGCATTCGATGGTTCAACTGAACTTGCAGGTGCTGCATCTTTGTCAGCTGTAGCCTCACGCAACAATCGCGCGACTTCCATTCTGGGCTGCAAGGTGCAAAGCCCTTGATCCATGAAACGTTGCTGCATCTTTGTCAGCTCCAGCCTCGAGCAACAATCGCACAACTTCAAAGTGGCCGTCCTGTGCTGCAAAGTGCAAAGCCGTTGCCCCATCCGTCAGTGCTGCTTCTTTGTCAGCTCCAGCCTCAAGCAACATTCGCACAACTTCCAAATGGCCTTCCTGGGCTGCAGCGGACAAAGCCGTATCACCCTCTGTGTCTACTGCATGTTTGTCAGCTCCAGCCTCGAGCAACAATCGCACAACTTCCAAGTGCCCAAGCGAGGCAGCAAGAACGAAACCATGCCCGTTCGGGTCCATTGGCTTTTGAAGCAGCCTTTCAATTTGAGCCACATTATTCTCCTCGCAGCTTGTGAGCAGTTCTTCTTCCATGGTCTCATCAGGGGCACACAGGGGCAGAATTACCAGCAGGACATTTGATAGTGTTCGTAGAGCCAAGTCATCCTCCAATTCGCCCATTTCGTCACTGAACAGTCTTTGCTGAAACCTTGAGCATCCAACCTGAGCTGAAAGAAGTCGCTTGAGGTCTCGAACAGTTAGCCCACTTTCGACCATATAATGCATCTCATCCTCATCAAGCTGAGCAACCGTGTTGCCAGACACAGCGGTAACCTGCATTGTTGAGGTTTCAAAAGCAAGAAGCGTCGGCTTGAGCCATGGCCCAGGTGAAAAAATCAATGCCAAACATTGAGAACAAGCGATGTCTTCAATTCAAATGTGAACCGGACAAACACAATGAAACATCGGCCTTCCTGCACCAAGTCTACCATTCCTCCTCGACCCCTTGTATACACACTAAAACGCTTGCCGACAGTTTTGAGCATCGATCTATGAATGATGGCTTGTAAGGCCACCAGCGAGAAAGCACCACATCAGCCTTGAAACCCAAGCCTCTATAAAGCTCTCTGAACCGCAAAATCTCAAGAAGAAATTGAACAAACCTTCGATTTGGGTCCACCCTATTAGCAGCTTTCAGTGGCTGATGGGGGCTGGTTACAGGCCTTGTTCGAAAATCGTGGTCGTTTAGACTACGGACGGCCGTACTGGTTTACTAGGACAGGCCCAACCTTGCAGCCATCATCCCCTAACAACCCCTAGGGATCCACATACCTTCTCAGAAGGTACTTGAGCCCTCCTGGTACCTACATAAATAGTCTCCAATCACCGATGACTGGATCCCTAACAACTGGGTCTGTGGACCATGGCCCCCAAAGCCCCGCTGGACGCAAACCCTACCTCCCGCTCATTGGAACCGGCCCATGGCCGCCCCGGCTGCGTGTCTCCGAGAGGCCATTGCAATCCAAGTCGAGCTCGGCCCAACGGATTTGCATCTCAAGGCCCGCCTGGCTGCTTCGCGCCAGCGGGAGAACGGAGAGTGTGCCCACAGAGAGGCCCGGCCGAGGTATGTTCAGGGGAAAGATGTCACATAGACTCATAGACTCCCGAGTCAACTCACATAGACCCTGACGTCCTGGTCCCATGGAAGATGATTTTCCTCTACCAACCAGGGGTTTTCAGGTTCCATGTTAGTCTTCCAGGGCGTATTCCAGTCCGATGGTCTAGGAACCTTTATCATCCCAATGTGGACATGAAACTATGATTCGACAGACCGTCCACCCTTCAATGAAGGCGAAGCAATCCCACCAACGAGTGTTCCGCAAACCCTTATTATCAATCGTTGATGATCAACCAAAGTCGCTTTACCAAGAACTCTGGGTCTTCTGCAGGAGATGTGCGATCCTATGCTTAACTTAACCTACTATATAAATGAAGTACAATCACACTGGTGGAAGACCGCAAACAAATCAAATCATACCCACAACTCGGCAACCCTATGAAATCCTATCATCACACTGGGAAGACGGCTCCTATCAAATCGTATCCTCATGAAATTCCATACAAAAAGCTTACACCAGCAGCCACAAAGGGGTGGTGTTTAGTCCCATCCAGTGAGTGGATCATGGCCACCCCTAACCTCCACTAAGCACCACTTTGTGACTGCTGTATGAACATCTAGCTCTCTTAGCTCTCTCTCTCTCTCTCTCGCTTGCTGGCCTCGAGACCCAGGCATTCCATGGCACTTTCAAAGCTGGCATGGGTGATGAGCGAGGTCCTAAGGAAACAAAGCTTCAATGAAGCGTGAAGGCGGCTGGATCAGAAGCAAATTAGGGGCTGCACTGCACCAACACACACACACAAAAAAAAAAATAGTGATTCATACAGAAAAGCCTTGACACAAATGACGAATGACAACAAAAACATACAAAAACATAATTGAGGATTGCAACTACGGGATTGTCCAACCCCCACGCTGCATGCCAACACCATCTTGCTAGAGCACGAGATGCTGTGCACGATGTGCAGCCATTTGGGTCTAGTATGCCATGGGACCCTAAGCCCCTAGAAGTACAGTAACCCTAGGGCTCCAAGTACCTCCTCAGAAGGTATTTGGACCCTCTAAACCCACCCCAAACACCTTCTCAGAAGGTATTTGGAGCCCTAGGGTAAGTCTGTCCAATACAATGAACCACAACTTGGAATACTCCTCGGCAACTTGTGATGTCCGTGGTTACTTTCAGACTGGGTCGCACAGTAGTGCTGGAGAGCATTCAGTGATTGATTAGCGGTCCCGGAACCGAGCAAAAATAACATTATATCATATAGTACCCAAATGGGAACTTGAATCCATCCATAGGGTAAACCAAAAACCTCCGATCCAATCCGCGCAACAAACAGGGTTCGACACTTTCCCTGGCGCCCGGTGCGCTCTTGCGTCATCTTGATGATCCAGCCCGGTGCAGCGCTGCAATAGTTTTGGGGAGGATACATCTGACGAAAACGGGGCATTAAGGGGCCCCAAAACTTGCCGTCCCCAACTCCTCCAGAGAACTGGTCCCGAAAACGTCCTCGATGCATTTCCATGCATTTCCTGGTTTGCTCCAGGACCAGTTCTCTGCAAAAAGAGGACCAGTTCTCTGGAAAAAAAGAAGACCAAAGAAGACGAGAGAAACCCGGACCAGTGACCTCAGGCCCAGTGGCCCCATGGAGAACTGGTTGAAGGCTTCCTGACTGCTCGGGTAGATCTTCTTCAACTTCACCTGTCGATCGATCGGGCCGCCCATAGCTGGGGTTGAAGGCTTCTTCTGGTGACGGGGGAGCGGGCTACAACAACAGCAACACTGACACCAACACCAGCAGTAACAACAACAACAACAACAACAACAACAACAACAACAACACCAGCAGTAGCAACAACAACAACAACAACGAAGAGCCAGAAACAGCTGCCAGCCACGAGGAGAGGCTGCCACAACAACAATAAACCAGCAGTCACAAGTACGGGGTGCGATCCATGGAGGGTGCCGTCGGGTGCCCAGAACATCCACAGCCCCTGGATGGGGCCAAACACCACCCCGTCTCGTGACTCCTGGAACCAAACCTCCTCCCAACCGTGGCGGCCCCAAGCGTCCGTCGGCCCTGAAGGACGCGAGACGCCCCAGGGTTGAGAAGAGACCGGCGGGTTGGGCTCTCTGAAGCGAGCAGTGTTGGGCTGCGCGACATGTTTTTCCAGTCGAAGTTCTTCATTTTCCACTTAAAGCAAAAGGTTCGACTACATCATGTTGAGGGCACGACCAAGACGCACGGACAAGAGGGAACATCAAGATCATTTCTCCATGTTCTGTTCTCTTCAATGTTTCATTGGTTGGAAAGGACCTGCTACCTCCATCAACTCGTCACATGATTCTCAAACCCTAGGGATCCAGTCGTACCTTTTCAGGTACGGTGATGTGTTCGACACTGTTATATGTAGGTGCCAGGGTCACGTCGGGTCCAGTCGTACCTTCGGTTCGGTACGACTGGATCCGGACATGGCGGTCAAAACGATGCCTTGGTGAACACGCCCCACGGGGCTCCAGATGGGTCGTGATCTCGTCACGACCCACCTGGACCACCCTCTCAGGTTGGCTGGTGCTTCGCGTCGCGAATCGGCGACGCTTCGACGAATCGACGGCGTGACCACGGAGGCCTTGAGGTCGGTCCAGGGAAGTTTCCAATCCACCTTCAGGTCCTGGCAAGCCGAAGTGCCGTAACAGAACAGACCAACAGAAGGTTGAAGAACCCTATAGACTATCCGTGACTATCCCAGGAACCGGTACCCAAGGTTACTTCGCCGTCGACACCGACGAGGACCTATGACAAGTCGTCGTCCACTTGACGACATGAATGGAGCCATCCACCAGTCCGGGTTCCCGTTTGGGCTCCTGTCGCCGCCTTCGTTTCGTTTCGGTGGGACTGGGGTGGCTGCCAGGAGGGTCCAGTCATACCGAACCTGAGGAGGTACGAAAACGGAGATGGAGGTCAAGGACCCGACAGGACCCTTCTTGGTGGCATGGTTCATGTGCCTGGGCATCTCCAAAGGGGTGGTATGGTTCATGCCATGGCATGGTGGCATGGTTCTTGGTGGCATGGTTCTTGATCTGTGGGGCTCTCTCTCTCTCTCTCTCGTGTTGCAAGGCTCGCCCAGCAAATCCACACAGCCACAGTCGGCACGGACGTCCTGGTACTCCAGCAGGTTCTTCACCAGCAAAAGGAAGCTCCCGGGGTGGCTGTGCAGGACATGCATGAGGCTGGACGAATGCACCTGTCGCGGGGGCGGCCGAACGGGCCACCGGTCTGGCTCCAGTCGGACCCTCCTACCCGGGCCGATCAGGCCGTCCCTCCGAGTGAAGACCGGTCTGGAACCGAACCTGGTGCATGCCGTCAGCGTACCCGGCCTCTGATGTAAGAGATGTAAGGCAAATGAAAGAGATGAAGATGCAACACCTGATCACAGCCCAGGGGGGCCAACCCTCGGAATAACCTCACAAGAGTGAGTTTAATGGCAAGTCCGTTGCTCTGCATCAGTCTCCTAATACTGCTCCACCACTCAGAAGCTGCACAGGATCTGAAAACAGCGGTCTTCTTAACAAAACTCATCGCCTCCAAACGACTTACAACATTGACACCGCACCCGCACCCATCCATGTCTGGGGGGGCCCGACCCATCCCACCGGTGCTTAAGCACCCCACCGAGACCCGCCCCACCGGATCCGGTGCGACGTGACTGGGCCAGGACCCCCACCTTCGTGAGGATGCAATAGGTCCTCGCCATGATCCATGCAGTTCTCGGTGTAGAGAACAACACCGAGACTTCCCCAAAGGAGTCGCCACCACAGAAGTACCTGGCCAGGTATGGCAGGGTGAACGAACGGCCAAGATACAGCTGCTCCCGCAAGCAGACTGGGAGATCTAGACCCATACATGGAGCCTCTGAACCAGGAACGGGGAAGATGGAACTCTATGTGAATTACTGTAAGTTTTTGTTTTGGGTGAAATCAATCTCATGCTTTGTGTTTGCAACACCATGTGCCTTTTAAATCCTTTGAGTGAGTCCCCTTCAATTCGACAGGGTAGGGCCAACATGTCACACCCAAACAAAGGCAAACGACGTTTTTTCTGCTGAGAAGTTCTCAGAAGGCGGAGCTTCAGTATTTGACCATGTCCGCGGACGACGGCTTCAGCCTGTTCTTCCTTTGATTACGTGATGAGTGTTGTGGGGTCCGAGGCGCTCGGCTCGATGGGCTGACAGTGCTTGTAGATCAGGTCCATGCTCCAAACATGTGGGCTGAAAACGGCTCATGTTCGCACCTGCTGGGTAGGTAGACCTTGTCATTGAGTGAATTGTGGGCTCTTCAAACCTCTTGAAGGTGCTTTTGGATTGCGCGCATCAACCAGGCTGAGTCAGCCAGCTATATACCCTAGGGCATCCTCAGAAGGTGGTTAGACCCCCCTGGCACCCACCCCAACCATCTTCTCAGGAGGTGGGCCAGGAGCCCTAGGGATAAAACCTCCTCCGCTCCTCACCGGCTCATACTCAGCTCATGCTCAGCCGTGCCTCACTGGCTCGCTCTCCCAGACCGGGGGCTCCTCAGTCACGTAGACCGCGGCTTGCCCTGAGCGCATGAAGAAAATGTGGTGATCCACCTGCCGATCTGCGAGGTTTCTGCAGGCAGCGATCGGAAACACATCGACAATAGCCACAAGGGCTCCAGGTTTGTAGGTTAGTTCCCAAACACTCCATGGGACTGCCGCACTCCATGGGACTGCCGCGCCATATATGCCGATCAGTTGGGGTGGTTTCAGGGGTCAATGTATAGGCATATATTCCAAACATGAAGCGTCTGGGGTTTTTGCATGTTTTTGCCAAGCTCAGCTTCTGCTGCTGCTGCTGCTTACCCGCTCACCTATTCCTGGCCCGCATCGACAGCATGAAACCTCTCCGGCACCAGCGTCTGGACACCCAGTCAAGACCGAGCGAGTCACGCGGTCGTGAGACCCTAGGGCTCCTGTCCCATATCCTCAGGTGGTTAGACCCCTCTGACACCCTCCCCAACGGTGGTTGGAGCCCTAGGATCCCCGGTCTACTACTCACTATGGGGTTGGATCCCCCTGGAAAACTGACCATTTCAGCCAGGCTAACTGACCGGGGATCCCTAGGGAGAATTCATTGGTCTTTCTCGGTCACGAAGTCGCACCGTGCGAAAGAACCGGCTTTGGACCTCTGGGACGGACCGAGACCGCTGCGGACCTGAAGGCGTCTGAAACGTCGAGGGGCCTCATTGAAGAACATATGGACATGGCGAAATGTCACTGAAATTGAAGTTAAATGTGACAAGGGACCCCTTGGCTGTGAAGATCCCTTCTATTTCAACAGTTTAAACATCAAAAAAGCACTTAGTGGGTAAACCATGGTAAACCTACCTCCAAGCTCACCAGTTCGCAGGGTCAACAACCAGCAGATTCCACCGGCGCCCTGCCACACCTCACCGTTGCGAATGATGAAATCCTCAGTCTGCGGCATATACTACGGTGCTACCCAGTGGTCGATCGGTGCATCGATCGGTTGATGATGCAGTGCCCAGTGGCGAGGGGGGGGGGTTGGGTGGCCATGGTCCGCACCTCAAACCCGGACAGTTTACATCAAACGTCGGCATGTCGCAGTGCATTTCGACTCATGCAGACAGGCGCCCGGTTGCGGCGCCTGTCTGTCTTCAGATATTACAAGATAGTATCACCCCCCCATGAAGATTAAACAAACACATCAGTTCCACTAGAACTTTGGACGATTCCAATGGCTCTCGTGGACGTGGGGAGAGGTAGTATATACTAGTGAATCACATTCCATGCATAATCCCGGCAACAAAAAAAAACAGTGAGGTCTAAGGTCTAGAGGTGTAGAAGCAGAAGGTCCAGAGATCTCTACGTCTTGACCTCCCGACACGGAGAGATCTAAAGGTCGAGGTCTTGGACCGTCTTGGAGATGGAGGCAGCAAGAGATCTAGAGGTCTAGAAAGATCTATGTAAAATGCCTAAACAGTCAGAGTCAGATCATATGTCACAGATCCAGAGGTCTAGAGATCTAGAGGCCTAGATCCAAAGAGATGTCTTGAGAGGTCTTGGCACTAGTGGTAGGGGCCCACAAACCTAGCGGTCAACGTCTAGATTTTGAGAGGTGTAGAAGATTCTAGAAGTCTAGCCATCCAGACGTCTATGGGTGTTGAGATCCAGAGATGTATAGACTAGAGGTCTAGAATGATCTAAACGGCTAGACAAGCTTGAGATCCAGAGGTAGCTCGAAGAATGATCCAGAAATTGGGGTAGGAGATCCAGAGTTCACACAAGTTGGCCAGAACCAGCCTGTGGGTTCCACCTCCACAGGGTGGAGAAGAGCGTGGGCTTGGGCGCCCAAGGTGTGTTTCGCAGGATCCGGAGGATGCGGTGGAATGCGGTGGATCCAGAGGATCTGGTGGGACTTCCGCTCCATTGCTTTGAATGTTCCACGTCGGGTCCGCCGCCAAAAACCACGTGATGCTCTGCTACCCAGCGGCGCCCGGCAAATCGATCGCCTCGACGAAGTGCTTCACCAGCTGGGAAATGACCTGCGATGGTCAACATGGAGTAGATTCCATGCATCATTCTACCAGGTTTCCTTGGATGATGATGGTTAGATCACCAGCAGTCACAAAAGGGTGCTTACTGGAGGTTAGGGGTGCCCATGATCACTTGGGGACTAAACATGACTAAACACCACCCCTTTGTAACGGCATGTAACGGCCTTCCTCAAAATGACTGGCTACTGGTCAGTCTCGACACCCAGGGATCACCATTCTTCCTCCGGACGACGCTGGACGGGCATCAGCACGAAGAGCCATCCACATGGGCGGAGGGACAACACATGGCTCTGAAGAAAGATCTGCACTTTGGATCAATGAAACACGAGTTGGAACATACAGTATCAGTACACAGACCCTACAGTAGGGCTCCAAATACCTTCTGAGAAGGTGTTTGGGGTGGGTTTAGAGGGTCCAAATACCTTCTGAGGAGGTACGACTGGAGCCCTAGGCAGATGTTCCAACACATGCCTCTTGAAACACGAGTTGGACCAAGGAAGGGACGGAAAGGACCATGGATTTGCTCTGCCAATGGGTGCCGGGTGTGCACTCATGAGTCGCACGAGTCGCTTGCTGTCCAGGGGGCGGCCGGAACTCAACGCGCCCGATCCGCCTAACTACCTGGACCCAACTGACCCACCCTAGAACATGGGACATGGATCCTATAACAAACAGCTACATGGTACGACTGTATCCCATTTTCCCAGGTACGAGTTCCGGGTCGACTCCAGGTATATCGCCACCAAACTTGCCACCCTAACCCTAGGGCTCCAGCAGAAAACGCTCCAAACCGATTCAGTCTGACTGGGCCCACCAATGGCACCCGGGCTCTGGTCGTCCCACGACCGAGCTGAAATGAAGGTGCTTCTGGGATTGGGGAGTCAGCAGAACCACCAGAACTCCACCCTCATCCGGTCTCGCCCTTCTTCCACCCCAATAGTCTCCACCCGACCGCTTCTTCCGCTTCTTCCCCCCCCCCCCGCAGTTGCAGCACCTCTACCGGTTGCTGGCGGAAATACCGCGCACGGATCAATAGCTCGTGATACCTGGAACCGAGTCTCATCGGGTTGGCGATCCCCGAGCGACTCAAAAACCCCACATCCACCAACCAGAAAACCCCCTTTTTCGGAGGAATCCTGCATAGAAAACATCAACTTTTGCGTCATTTTGCTGCAATCACTGGCCTCCTCACTGGCCTCCTCCTATACGCATGCATGCAACTGCATGCCACTTGCTTTCCTCACCTGGCCAACCGCAGCTCTTCCAGCAAGGCATCGGACAAATGACCTGCAAGGCATCGCGACCAACGCGACGCCAAGCACTGTTAGACTGTTGGGCAGAATTCAGGAGCCATACCCAAACACTCCATGGGACTGCCATATATGCCATGCCGATCAGTTGGGGTGGTTTTGGGGGGTCAATGGCATACATGGAGTGTTTGGGATACATGGAACGAACACACCCACGCAGCGACATCGTTATTGTTATATAGGGCTTCCAGTCGTCCCTCCGTTTTTCGTTTCGCACTTGCTGGGGATGGGGTATGCCTTCTTCAACTGGGAATGTTCCGCACCAGGATCGATTTTTTGCATCTGACGAGGTGGCTGGGAAAATGCGGTGGCGGGCATTGCCAGTTGCCACTTCTATTGCGACTGCCTTCTTACCCGCCTACTGACCCACTCACCTACTGTACTTACAATTACCTTAGAAAACCCATGCTTACAAGACACGTACTTACTTCTTCCCTCACTGCCTGACTCGCAATTACTTAGCTGAATGACCGCCCATAACATACCGCAGTCCTGCATTCCTGCCACCTCTCTACCTCGCATCCCGCATGACGCTGGCCGCTGCCTGATTGCTCAAAGTCATGCTGAATGAAGTGGTCGTGGAAATCCTGGGGCCGTCAGCGAACCGCGCCGTGCTGTGCCAACGGAAAGAGGTGAAGCAGTTGGCAGAACTGGTTTCTGATGGGGATGGCCACCTTCTGACACCACTGCCCTTTCCTGGTAGTTTTCTGTGCTACAACAGGTCGAGCGGAACACCTTCGGTACTGATCGAATTCTTTCAGACATGACTTCGAGTAGAATATTTTTGTTGACCATCTAACATTTCCCGGGGCATCTTTCATGGTCAAACTCCGAAAGCCTCAGTTTCACTTTCATCGGTGAAGTCTGCTGTGGATTGGGTTTCCAAAAGGGTCACAGCGACTCACCAAGCTTCATCCACGCGGACCCCCCGCGGGTCCTGATAGCACAGCACACGTTGTGCCAGTTCGGGATGGATCGCGGCCTGGGTTTCTTCGACGGAAAAAGCAGGGCCTGTTGCCTCTGATTCTGATGGTTGGAGAGGATGGCCTTCCCAATGCCCAAAGTGGCCGATGGGATTGGGATGGACTGGGAATATATATGCCAAGATGGACCCCAGGTCAATCACCCATGGCCGTTTCTCTGCAAAGCTGGCAGACTGACTCAGAAAACTGGTAGGTTATCTGGGTGTGGCCAAGGCCATCTTGCCTCTTTCCAAAACCCATCTACAGGAAGACCAGAAAATGACCTCAAGAGTTACAATTAGCATCATCTAGCTTACCCTACAAGTCCAAAGACCCAGTAAAACCTGGTCTTTTACCTCCTTAAGTATCTTAAGTATTGGTTTTGTATGACCATCTCCAGTAAAATGAGGCCAGACTGACTTGTAGGGTTAGCTCTTTCAACTGCCGTCGTGGCCTTCGAAGCATCCCCACCGCCACCGCGACCTGTGATCGCTCGGGATCGGTCCACACCGAACACCGCCGAAGGTGGGAGCTGGGGTGGGTGCCAAACCTTCTGTACGAGCCCAGCGCCGGCCCGTTGGGGATACACCAACACGCCATCCATCCGAGTGGACCGCTCTCAACCCGCCCCGTTCGGCCTGCATGAGGTTGTTCTGCGTGTGCTTGCGGTCCGTGAGCCGCTGCGACGTGGAGATGTTCCGCAGCGAGGTCAACCACGTCTGGCCACGGCCCACCGAGCCGCGGTCCGCGCGGGTGCTTTGCGTGGTGCGTGCATGTGCGTGCTCCGTTTCGTGTGGGGGGGATGGGATGGGAGTATCCATATGCCAATCCACCGGAACAACCAACAGAAGATCCGGACTGGCCGCAGTTCCAGTGGATGTTTTGGACCGACGCCGAGTTCCTCGGTGCGCTTTCACGGCCGAACGGCGCAGCGGGAGGAGACGCAGAATTGGGAGACCATGGATGGCATGGTCCCTGCGATGAGCATGTTCCTCACCTTTGCAAAATTGTTTCCACGATTGTTTTGTATCCCTATAATAATTAAGAAACACCCTTAGACGATCTCTGATGGTTTTGCCAAATAACAAAAAACAAACAAAAACAGCTAAAAAAAAAAAAAACACACACACACAACAAATACGCAAATCCAAAAAGCAAATGAAAAAGCACAAATAAGTCCAAAAACACAGTAAAACCTGGTCTTTAACCTCCTTAAGTATTGGTTTGTATGACCATCTCCAGTAAAATGAGGCCAGACTGACTTGTATAGGGCATTATTTCGGGCAATCAGTCCTACAAGAAGCGAAAGGTCAACGGCATTCAACGTTTCGTGGCAGTTGGCTGCATACTTGCCCCACAACCATCTGGCAAAAAAAGAAAAACACAACATGTCAAACTCAGTTCATGTCACTCTTAACATGACGCCAGTAAATATTCCCCCGCCTTCAAGTTCTGCACTGGCTTCTTGACTTGTGGCTCTTGAGAAGCAAACCCCTTCGACTATTGGATTTGAAAAGTGTTGCCAAACCAATCTGGCTTTTACTGTACACAAGCATTTTCCGACTTGCATCGGCTGCCAGCTCTGGCAGCAAGCAACAACTGCACAACTGCAGCTGCATCAGGCAAACCAACTATATAAACTACTGCATTTGCTGCATCTTTGTCAGCTCCAGCTGCAAGCAACAATCGCACACAACTTCCAAGTGTGGCCATTCTTGGCTGCAACGGGCATTGACATTGCCTAAACTGTCATTGCAGCATCTTTGTCAGCTCCAGCCTCGAGCAACAATCGCACAACTTCCAAGTGGCAGTTCTTGGATGCTAGACACACAGCTGTTGCCCCATTTCTCGTGGCTGCATCTTTGTCAGCTCCAGCCTCCAACAACAATCGCACAACTTCCAAGTGGCCTTCCTGGGCTGCAAAGTGCAAAGCTGTTTCCCCATGTCTGGCAGCTGCATCTTTTTCAGCTGCGGCGTCCAGCAACAATCGCACAACTTCTAAGCGGCCTCCCAGGGCTGCAATGTGCAAAGCCGTATCACCATCTGTATCTGCTGCATCTTTGTCAGCTCCAGCTTCGAGCAACAACCGTACGACTTCCAAGTGGCCTTCCAGGGCTGCAAAGTGCAGCGGCCTATGTCTCTCTGCTGCATCTTTGTCGGCTCCAGCCTCGAGCAACAATCGCACAACTTCTAAGTGGCCTTTAGTAGCTGCCACGAATAAATAACCTCTCTCATTCGGGTCAAATGCCTTTTGAAGCAGCCTCTCCACGTGAACCACATTATTCTCCAGGCAACTTGTGAGCAGTTCTTCTTCCATGGTTTCATGAATGGCACACAAGGGCAGAATTACCAGCTGTACACTTGACAACGACCGTAGGGCAAAGTCGTCCTCCAATTCGCGACTCTCATCACTGAAGAGTCTTTGCTGAAAACTTGAGCACCCAACCTGAGTTGAAAGAAGTCGCTTGAGGTCCCGAACAACTTTGCCTGTTTCTACCATGTAGTCCAGCTCATCCTCCTCAAGCTGAGCAACTAATCTGCCAGACACGGTAAATACCTGCATCATTGAATCATTGTTTCCGAAGCAAGAGGTGTCGACTTGAGCCACAGTCAAGTTCCGAAGAACAACACCAAGACAGTGGGGAAGAACGACATTCAATACGTCCTCAATAGACACACTTCACCGGATACGCAATTGATCCAACTTGTGGCCCAGGGGGGGTGGCGAAAGCTAGGGAGGGACAAGTGGTTGGGGAACAATCGGCCCCAACAATGGCCCCTTCCTTCCATTCACCGTCCGACACTCCGACTACGACGAGTTCGCCCGTCCGACGAAGACCCGAAGACGGCATCGCACCAGGTCAGCGAAGATCTTGGCCACCAGCATCTGACCAATGATCATGTAGGCGGCGCAGCTGAAGCGCCTGAAATGGACCGCTGGTAAGGGATTTGGGCTGAAGAGCCAGCAGGCTCTGGTCATGATAATCATGATGTAGATCATCAGATGGTGAAGATGGTTTTTGGGTGAGTCGAGTGAAGCTATACATGCCCCATAGGCCAACCATCCCGGAGTTCAGCGCACCGTGGGACAGGTGGTTGCTTGATATTGAGGCTCTCCACCTCTGATTACATGATAAACGTGGCCAAGGGGACAATTCAGCCGTGAAAGAAAACATACAAATCAATTGAGGTAGAACCCTCATTTCATTAAACCGCAACAACACCACCCTATACTTGTGACTCCTGGACTATACCTCTTGGTCGTCAGCATCAACCTCGTCGGCATTGACCTGAGACCCACCTCCGGTGCTTTGCCCGAGCGGTGCTTCGCCAAGGCCAGGCACTCCACACTGTTGGTGCCTCCAAAGTCCCCGTAGCCTCGGTGCGGACCGGTGGCCTTCGCCCAGTGAAGCCTTGACCAGGTGTTCCAACAGCTGGAGAACCCGAACTAGGCCGAACTAGGCTATCCCAGGAACCGGTACCCCAGGTGACGGGTCCTATTTACGGTCGCTTAACCTCTGTTGGTTTTCCAAGCACCCAGAGAGTTGAGAGCTGAGAGCCAGCTGAGAAAGAACGGTTGGTGTCCCACAAGAGAAGCGTGGCTTCTGCTTCTGCCTTGAAGCCGTTGGCTGATGTTCATCCACGCGAAAAACGGGATCCTCAAATTATTTCAATTACCGCAGGCATTGAGTAACAACAAGCTAGGATAAGAAAGAACCATCAGTGATCTACACCTGGTCTCGGGCGACTCTGGTTCTTTGTTGGGTATGATTTTTGTTGTTGTTGTTGCTGTTGTTGCTGCTGCAGTTGGTGGTTGTTGGTTGTTGTTTGTTGTTGTTGTTGTTGATCTGAACATAGACTAATGCACAAACTTGGTGCACAAATTAGAACCTTCTGTTCCCAAACCATTGTAAATGGTGAAGTGTATGTACTTTCTTTTAGCATCAACATCAGAAAGAAATCTGCTTGTATGGCGGTAGTTGTGTATTTGTTGGGGTCCTATCTTGGTAGCGGTGCATGGCAAACTGTCCAACCAATCACATGTTGCGGAACGAAAACACCTCACCGCAGAAAAAACAAAAAAACCTACAGTAATTACTGTTTCAACTTTCACAGCTTTCGGGGTTGGGGTTTGATGTTCCTTCACGCTGCTTCGTTGAGAACGGGGGGAAGCAACATCTTCCATCCCTCCGTCCATCCAGCCATCCATCCCCCCCAAGCCATGTGGCCAATGGAGGTCAAGGTGTAGGTGGAGAAATAAAACGAGGCCCAGAACTGCTCCGAGCAGGTCAGATCCTCCGCGCGGTGGCGGAGGCCATTGAAAGACTGGGTTTCGTTGATTTGTTGATGCATTGAAAGATTGGAATCTATTGGGCACTCTATTGGGCATATGATGGCATGTCCTATTACCAGGGCCCAGTGAATGATGATGCTTAGGTTGAGGGCCCTCAGGCCTTTCCATCTCTAAAAGATCGACCATGTTTGGAATTTTTAAGGCCACTTCAAACTCTTTGGGACTCCAAGCGCTTTCGTTTCGTGTCGGTGGGACTGGGGTAGGTGCCAGGAGGGTCCAGTCATACCGAACCGCTTCGAAGGATTTCTCCTGGAGCCCTAGGGAAACTCTTTAGGACTTGGGTGGCCCAAGTCCTAACTCCACACTTTGCCTCGTCCCATGGGTCCAAAGTCCAAGTCCGTTTCTGGGCGATCGTCCGCCGGCTCACGGCTCGACACGCACGGACCGTGGGGTGAAAGGTGCGGACACGCTGAACGTCCAAGGCACTGTCCAGGGCTCATAGCCCCAGATCTGCTGCCTGTCCAGACCGCCGTGGCTCGACCGATCACGGACGGAGCTACGGGGCTCAGGACTGCGGAGCGACGGGACCACCCAAGGTATGGACACATCGAGTGGAAATCGGTAGCTACCATACCGTATGGTACCCTTGGGAGCTACGCACCAACCAAGCAACCAAGGTATGGACACATCGAGTGGAAACGGGTAGTTCTAGGTATATGGTACCCATCCATAGCCTCTTAGATTACTGTAAACATGTAAAAAACAAAAAAGGTCCATCAGTCGGTCTTCCACCGAACAGTGGGGGCTTCGCCCGAACTAGTCTTTCTGTAGTCCACATCGTCCTGAAACGATACCCAAACCACGACCCAACATGGGATTCATGGTGTTCATTGTTCATGTTCTCTTCTCGCCGCCCCATAGAGCCGCCCAGGTGAATCAACCACCTAACTGTAGGAATTGTCACCAAACATTGGTCCCATGCCCAAACACTCCATGGGACTCACATATTTGCCGATCAGGCCAGGGGTGGTAATTTCTGGGATCAAATGGGGCGGCATATATACGTCAGTCTAGTGGAGTGTCTGGGATGGCTTGAGTCCGGGACAGAAAGACAAAGATCACAGCAGTCAGTTGTTGGCCCGGTTTTCCACGCCGAGGTGCTCATAGTAACCCAACAGCATCCAATAGCAGGAGTACAAATGCGCTGCCAAAGCCAACTGCAACACGATGATTGCGAACTCGATCTCAAACTGAACGCCTCAGTTTTCGGGGGCAAAGGTACCGCCATTTCCGAGTGCTGCTCTTATCTGATGGAAGGCTCCTTGCGTCTACGCGAGTGTGATGGCGGTGGACTTCAGAACCTGCTTGTCTCTTCCTATTCTCATCTCACCTTGCACACGCGCTTTCCATGCCTTGACGGTGACTTGAATGACCAGCCGATCATCATGTAAACCCCCAGTAGGTTCCAGAACCCCCCCTATGAGATGAGATTTGTAGATGAAAGGCATCTGCGTGCGAAGGTTTTGTGAAGTTGCCCCCCGGTGGATCTTGGAGAACGGTGAAAAATGAAGTGATCGCCAAACAACACCACCTGTAGCGGCTAGGGAAAGACCTTGTTCAAACTGGCCAACTGTCTTCGAGTGCGAAACAAAGCACGTGTGCTTTGTTTTGGTTGCACCCCAAACAGGAAACGCCCCCTGTTTAGAGTCGGGATGTCTTCAATCAACTGCATGCAGCAAGCACCCCTCCAACACAAACACTCAAAAGACTAGAAGGGGCAACTTAGCAAACCGTTGGTTTCTTCGATGCTGTTTAGCATAAGTATGGCACTTAGCATAAGGAATGGTCTACAGCGTCCGTATGAACATTGATCCCTCAAACCACCCCCAGCTCATCAGCCTATGCCAGTCCCAAACAGTTCATGTCTGAGTGGGGTCCCCAGGTCGGAGGAAAAAACCGAACAACCGTTGCACCCGAACAACCGCTGCGTTCTCCACACCATGGCGGTGCAGTTCGTGCATCGGTGCTGCCGGGGCGCTGACGATGATGGGCGCCACTTGCTCCCAGAGGCGCCACAAGCGGAGCAAGTCCAGCAAACTGAGCCACTGGGTGAAGCGCAAGTCTTCACCGAACCTCGGGAACTTTGCGGATGGATTTCCAAAGATTCTTGGCACGACTTGTTGCATATGTTTGCACTCCATTCCAAACTTCACACGCATTCCATACCAGGACCCACAAGGGGTGGTTAATGGACACCCCTTAAACTCTAAGGGGCTATCAATAGACACCGGTTGGGGTGTCTTGGTATAGGGAAAGCACATCGAAATGACTTAAAGACTTGTTCAACAAACATTCAACGGTCCCGTCCACTTCAGAGGACCACAGCAAATATATATAAATGGTCTGTTCTTCTTGTCTGATCATCGATTATCAACACTAACAGGCCAAACAAGGTTAATAAGTTATAAAATGATATAAGCGCGAATGGTTATGTACCATATATGACTCTGGTTCGTCCTTTCGGTTCAAAGGCCATGAGAGTCCCCAAGCTTCATCGTCGACTCTTTACAAATCTCACAGGCAAACTTCGCCATCTCAGCACCCTTCGCACGGTCCTTGTCAGGCCGGATACTTGTTGATTTCGTTGGTTTCAGAAGTCGCCTGGCACGCGGTCCTCGTTGGATGTGGAGTGTGCATCTTAGGGTGAAACACTGGCCCCCCCTGGGCGCCCAAGGTGTAGGTTGCTCTATGTTCCCTCCCAACCGGAGTCGCGCCTAAGAGGTCGATGCGGTCGATGCTCCTCCCCCCCCCTCAGAGCTTCGCCCATATCGCTTCGCTCCAGATCGAGGAGCCACAGCTGGCCGAAACCAGCCTCCGCGAAGTGGGTGAACTGCATCACGTCTCCCACGAACGCCATCCTCGTGTCGCGGTGCCGGAGCTGCACTGCAAAAGTGACCGGTGTGGAGGGTGACGGAAACCGCCAAGAAGGAAATGGAAAGGAAGACCGTCCCCCAAGCGAAATAGAATGCAAAACATCCAAGGCTTTGCTATAATATGATCTTCTGCAGAAACTTCGGCAGTTCTGCCAAGACATCTCTGAAGAAGATTCTGAAGGTACCAAGTTCGACCGGCAGCAAAGGATCACATCGACCACGTCTGCCACCCTTCTTAGAGAAAACGACCAAAATCGTTCCTGCTTCAGGGACCTTCGACATGAACGAACCAACAACAAAATCTCCTAGCAACCAGGATTTCACGTCTTTTTGCTATCACAACGACATCCAGCGACTTGGTTCTCCAACTTCTCCCTCGAACCAAACAAGAACCCCTCTCTCACGTTTCACGAAGAAGGGGCAAGTCTAGCCAGAAGCCGGCATGTTGCAGCTGCCATAGCATCACACTCCTGGGGCCACGAGCGCATCCAGTGCTTGCTCCCGATGACTCACCCAGGCAAGTCTCACACGCGCAGAACATGCAGAATGAGCTACCATGAGCTACCCAAGCCCTAACCAAGGATCACAATCTCTCAGAAAGACGTCAAAAAATCAGGCCACATCCAACCAGCGATCTGGTGAGAAACAACAACAACAACACCCTCTCTTCCCAATCAAAACTCTAGACTTGTTCTAAAACGGTCATGACCAAAAAGGTACTTCAATGTTGGGCCAACTTTAGCCCTCGAGTGTCATGCATATACAGGCGTTCAAAGGAAGTTTAGAAAGCCTTGCGAGTGGCGACTTGAAAAGTTGCTTCGTTCACCTGCCTAAGCTCTTGGAGTTCATCCCAATATCTGCCTGGAAGATCCCTTCGTGACCGGTCACTTGATCCCCTGGGCTTCGGTCAACAGAGTCAACAGGCTTGGATGTTCGGTCACCAACAGGGACTCCGTTCGGTCACCGGGAAGGTCCCTCCGGACTGGAAGAGGACTGCCGTTCCAGACAGACCCCCTGGCACGCACGCACCACCGCAACAATTGATCGGCAGTCCGGACTGGCAGTCCCATGACAGGGAGCGTTTGGTACTCCAAAGTTCGGTCACATGGTGGTCCCTGGTGATTACGCTGCAATGGACGCTGGTGGAGTGACACATCGAATGGACGCTGCATTCTCACAGATGCTTGTAAACATGGTTTGCCACAAAAACACCAGTCAGAATCGGAACATGTGTGGACAGTAATTAGGTTGAGTCATGAATGTCAACCTAGGGCATCACTGCAGAATCCTTTGACAAACGCTGGTGCGTTAGTTGACAAGGCTCATTTTGAAGCAAACGTCCGACCTGCTTCCTACACTTCTGCTTTCGTTGTATCAATTTCGTGGCATGGTATCTTTTGAAAGGTCAAGGGTGAAGCAAACAAACAACTCTCCAACACCGTGCCGCTGTTCGCTTCGTCCTGAAGGCCACCAGCTCCAACTTCTCCTTGGTGGTCACCGAGAAGCCGAAGAGCACGGCCTGAGCGGCGCGGAACAGTGGCCGAGGAGGTGTACAACCAGGGCAGTGAGGTGAAGCAGCCCGGGGTATCGATGGCTTTCAAATGCGATCCGGATGTGTGAGTAGCTTTGCTGCCATACTGATATTGCCTTATTGCCCCCCCCAAACGTCTCTCATATGTCAACAAATAGGTGTGCTTCTTCATTGGTGACAGTGGGTAACCCTTGCTGTCGCCCCTGCTGTCGCCAGACTCTTCTGCGCCAGGCCACGGTGGAGAGGACGATGTAGCAAATGTCGAAGAGGAACTGCGCCACGTGGAGCGACACAAAATCTTGAAGGTCCTCGGCGCTCAGCTTTGTGCGGAGCGCATGCGCATGCAATGGATGATGTGGATGATATATATGAATGATGTGGATGATGTGGATGTCCAAAAAGCCCCCCCCAGGGAAGGCTGCCTTTAGGGTATCTTTGGGAAGTAGTCTAGTTCCACAGGCTCATGACAACCCATCGAGCTTATGAAAGGCACAGATTCTTGAAACCGCCCGATTTCTGTCATATTTATATATACACCACTCTCTCTCAAAGTACCTCGGAAAATGGGAACAAGTACCTGTCTTTATGTATAGGGTCAAGTCCCATTTTCTAGAGTCCTTGAAGTCGGGTCCAGGTAGTGTCTTGACCGTCTCCCCAGCCATGTCTTCCATCGTTGGACCAAAAATTCCGGCACCACGCTCCGTTGTGGAGCTTCTTCCGTTGTGGTTTGTGGCTGGTGACGCCAGAGGTTCCGAAGTGAACCGAAGTCCCAACCGGTCTAACCACTCCATGTATGCAATGTGAACAATGGAGATCCCGAATAGAGGTGGGCTAGGGCGAAACCAGCCAGGTGACCCCGACATCAAGGTGCTGGTATACGACTGTTGGTTAACAAAAACGCCCCTGTTTGGAGTGTTAAACCTTTCCCATCTCTCCTGTGGGAGGTTTTATTCATCAACGGGCTCTTATTAATCAGCCCTAATTCATCCTATAAAACAAATCATGCTTCCACTACCCATCTCGAAAGCGATGCATGTTTTTTGCGCATCCCCTTTCAGTCGCCCCTTCGAATTCAACGGCTCCTACCAGCAGTCACATGTCGGGGTGGTGTGACTCGTCCCATCCAGGGGTTGTGGATGTGACATGTTCGCACGCCGACCTCCATGGACCGCACCCTGTCCTCCATGTCACTGGTGTCGAAGAACCTTGAAGCTTCACTCCCAAAGCCAAACCCTGCGGTGTCTTTTTCTCACCCAAGTGCGAACCCTTTGGACCCGCATGCTCTGGAGGGGGGTCGAGTCAATCCCGGTGGTTGAGGGACCGGTCGGGCTGGTTTCACGGAGAGTCCAACGCGCTGAAAGAAGCGTAGAACACCAGCCAGCCACAGGATACTGCCCGAAGCCGAGTCTCATTGGCGGAGGGGTTCGGGCAAATCGGCTGCATCGCCAGCATGGCAGGAGTTAAAAAGGCAGAGCCCAGTGCCAGTAATTGGAGGAAACGGCCTTGGCACCCGATGCTGGAGCTCGCTACAGGTCAACCAAACTGTCCATCGGCGGTTGGACTTGAGTTGGGAAACCATGGGGGGAAACCAATCGCCCCCAAACTGGTTATGAAATAAGTTTACCATTAATTGAATGGTAGGTATAATTCCTGGGTCGAAAATATGTGTTTTTCCCCTGATTCACGGCGTGTGTTGGTGGGACAAATGTGATTTTCAGCGGCTGACTCTGGAATTGGAACACATCTCAGCCCAAACTGAAACAACACCTGGAACAACATCCATGTCCACCTTGCACATGCCTAGGTTATTGAACACGGGATGCCTATAGGCATGTGAAGCAAAACTCCGCAGCATGGCACACGACCCACGCGTGGTTTGGTTCCGAGGCCAAACCCCCAAATACGCAGCTCAGCTCGTGCCACTCCGGTCTTGACCGGGCACGGCCAAACAAAGCTCGACCGGCCGCGGACCGGCCACGTGCGACCGAGGCACGACAAAGGATGGCCGTGCGGCTGGTGCAGCGGATCCGCCAGGTGCCTTTGGACTCGAAGCCCTCCTGGAAGCGACGCGCGGTGTAGGCGCACCGGACAGTCAGGTCGAATCGGGCAGGGTGAAGCAGAATCGGTCAGGAGTGTGGGATTGGGTCCTTAAGAAAACAGGGAAAAAAGGGATGGAAAAGGCGAAAGGGGAAGGTGTAGGGAGTAGGTGAGGAAGTCGAACTGAATCTTTTGGTCGGTTCTTTGCACCCTTTTTGGGTCAAATCGTTGAATAGACATCGCGTTATTGACTGATGCGGCCAAGCGCTCGTCGACCCATCTAATGTTCTAATTCTTGTTCGGGAACCATCTCAATGGTGAGAGCGGCTTTCTCGGCTCTAGGGGCATCTTTCCGGAGTTGGGATTGTATGGGAATTGTGATCTCCAGGCCTTGACTTCCTCGGCCCCGCCCCATGGGCCCCCATGAGAAACGACTCCGACACGACCGAACGCGTGGTGGTGAAACGCCTGGAACCTCCGAATCGCCGCGAAACCACCACGGCACGGTCCTGCAACGGGAAGAAGTGCCGGGTCATTTTGGACCGAATCTTCCCCTTAGCAACGAAGGGAATAACTGACCTCCTGACGTCGCACGACCAACTGACGTAGCCATCACAGGGGCCAGATAAGACATCCAGGCAACCCATGTAAAGACTGTTCCCTTGGGGGCTCCGTTTTACCTCCTCAGGTTCGGTATGACTGGACCCGGACATGGCACCCACCTCAGTCCCACCTTCGTTTCACGAAGGTCCGACTGGAGCCCTAGGGGTTTTAAGCACCGTTCACGTCTGAATCAGAGGAATCGCAGGGGTGCCACTCAGTGGACCAGCGTCTTTTTTTTTTGGCTCCCAGCCCTGGTTGAACGTAGGAGTGGTCTGGACAGAAATACATTTGAAAGGGGAGGAGCCAATGAGTAATTGATAAAAAAACCTCTGTGACTCTGCAGCATGGGAGCTAGCGCCAAGGCTTGGGGTTCGGACCACCCGCAGCCATACAGCCTTACAGAACAAGCATGGCCCTCTTAAGCCGGAGACGACTTGTCATGGATCCTGGCAGGTTCTCGGCAGGCTGGGGACCAGTGCGCATCCAACAAAAACATGATATATTACAGTATATCAAGATGAAAGTATAGTGAATTGAGAGTAGATGGTACAACCCCCAAGAGGTGGTTTATATGGATCCCCATCTAAAGGACTTAATTTGGATGCCGGGTGCCAGTGCCGAATCTACTCTGAAACCACTGTAACTATATAGAAGTCCGGAAAAAAAACCTTGCAAATGGAAACTAGTGGTTCTACCCCGGACCTGTCTTCCCTCTACATCCCATCCTTGCAGGAGGGCCTGGCGCAAGAGCGCCGCCGAGCCGAGCCGCTGGAATCTTCGCACGGATGTTGAAGGCCACCGTCCAATCCTCCAGTGTGCAAGCATCCTCAGCGACCGAACTGGGAAGCAAAGCCGAAGCGCAGCGGTGGCGTGGGCGGGAGGCGACTTGTCAAGCTGAAAGAACCCGCGAGGTTTTTCAGGTGTCACACCTCTTGAGAATGTCCAGGAGGTAAAAGGTGTGAGGACAAACATCTCGGATGGATTGAATCCACAACACTTCAAAACAAGTGGACAATGTGACGACAAGTCTCCAATTTCTATCCACCGAAGGACTTTTCAAGAATGCACTATAATCATACTGTACCAACTGAATGAGGCAATGGTTTTGATGCATACGCTGAAGAACATGCGACAGAACAAACAGCCCGTGCAACAGCACCATCCTCACCTTCGTCCTCAGCAGGTTCTTCCCCTCCCCGGCCGCGGTTGTCAAATTGTCAAACGGTCACCAATGGAAGCCCCTACACCACTGAGGGACCTCGAATGGACACCCCTTGAAGGTCCAGGAATATTATATATATATATATTAATATATATTATATCCAAAATCTTTTGAACATGTCTCTCAGAGACCACCAACCAAGCTCTCGCTCGCCTGAACATATTCTAAACATGTGGTGCAAGCGTTGAGAAAGCCCAACCAACGCCTTTCATGTTTCCACCTAAAAAGAACAAACACAACTCTACATTCTCGTCATCGCATTGTCAGGCTTTCCACATGTACACCTCTCTCGCTCTCGCTCTCTCGCTCTAAAAAACGGCAGTGGTTGATCTGCCTTCAGAGATTCACAATGCATGTTTTAACATGTAAAAAACAACAAAAACAACAACATTTTTTTGGACTTCGCCGAGGCGCTGCGGGCTTCATCCCCACCGGCCGTTGGCTATGCGCCCAGCTCTCCCCATCGTCCACCGGGTCGTGCTGCGTCACCCGGCGGCTGGGCACCTCGCGTGTTCCACGCGACGGAACCCGCCGCGCGACGGAACCCGCCGCGTCCGTATACGCCCGTCGTTCCGCACCGAAGGCCACGCCGGCCACGCCGATTCCCGGAGGTCTCCCTAGCTGCACCAAACATCACGGTTTTTCTTTGGTGTCTGCGCGGCTGAAGGGATGGAGCTCTAGATGGAAGAGAAGAAAAGGCATCGGTTTGCAGTGTAGAACACGTGAGCTTAAGTTCTTGTGCGCATTTGCTCCAACAATGGGGGTTACAGGATCATATATATCCAAATAGAAGGACCGAGTTAATCCCTTGTCCTACTGCCAGCTTCAGATGTTCACTGGTCTCCAGGCCAATTCCGTCCAACTGACTCTATGTTCTGAGTCAGTGAGGCCATCTCTTCAGAACAACCCATCGAATCGGTCATGCAGAGTGGGATGGGCGCCAACCTACTGCGCCAACCTCTATCTGTCTCCGTCTCCTGCGCCCAGACTGGGGCCCAAGAGACACACACACACCATGTCGACGGAACCCTCGCACAACCAGGTGCGGAACCCTCGCCATGCGTTGGAGTGACATTTCACTTGCCCAGACACGACCTGTCTGGGACTGCCAGCCATACATGCCAATCAGTTGGAGTGGCTTTGGGGTCAATGTAGGCATATATGCATGGCATACATGGAGCGTCTGGGTTGGGATCTTCAAGTTGCGAAACTTAAGCATTGTTGCATTGGCTTCTCCGGCCACGACCAGGGAGTGGCAACCAAAGCTTTGTTGGGCCGCGCCACTCTCTGTTCTATCTTCCGCACCTGAAGATTCCAACAAACTCATATGCAAAACGTTCTGCATGGCGTCTTGTATTCCTCCCCAAGAAAACACATCAAACACGTTTATGTCCCATCTTGACATGCTAATCATGCTAAATCCATTCTGTTGCGTCTTTCCGTCCCAAGACACGTTGGGACACCGACCACTTTCCATGCTTTCTCCGTTGGATTTCACTGGGCCAATCGCATACTTCCCGCCCGAGCAGAACTGGGAGTTGCCGGGCGACCACCGCTGTAGAGACGCGATTGTTGTGTCCTTAGAGACCGCACGACTCGGTGTGGAGAAGGAGCACCCAATGCGAGCCCTCAGGTGCAAAGGGATGGGCTTGGAAGTGGCCCAAGGGAAGCATGTTTAACTCCCTCAGGCCAAGATAACAAATTGTCCAGGATCATCCGCAAGGAAATCATTTCATACGTTAGTTATCGTCAGTTCCTACAACATGTGCCAGACGGGCTATATAATGAAGTTCTTTACATATACAATATATGCAGTACCCTCTTCCAACTGGATGACATTGAATGACGACTTCCTTACCTTGGGATGCTGCTTTTTCCGTGGTGGATCCACTCCGACAGGTGCTGCTTCGAAGCGATCCGCACCATGAGGCCTCACCCCGATCACCCTCCATCTGCGATTTTTCACTGAACTCCTAGGACTTCTACTCCTGCTCCTTCCGCGGTCGTAAAGAGGGGGGCTTCCCTTCGGTGAAGAAAAAAGCCAACCAAAGGGTTGCTTCATGGGAGGGGCCATTATGGAAGTCATGGGAAGTGAAGATAAGTGAAGACCCAAATCAGCACAGTTATACCAGCACCCGACTCAAAGGGTTTATCATGGTTTATGAATTGAGACCTAGTCTCACACCTTTCCCAACCCACCACGAACGACCTGGCAGTGAGGGTAGGAGAGTGCTTTGATTGATCTCAAGTCTTATTCGCGACAAGTGGAAGATAGATTGTTGATAAACTGATGCAGTCCATGAGTCGATCCCCCCATCAATCCTCCAACATGGCAATTCCCAACTCAATACAGTAACTGTTGGATATAGGACACCAACATCGACCCCTAATAACTGCATGTTGATTCATAAAACCATCAATGATATAAAACCGTTCTTCTTCTTCTTCTAACATATCCTAACCATCTACATGGTCAACCCCAGCATGTCCACAAATCTCAGCCAACACCTCACATTTGGGTGTGGATTTCGTCACTTGTCCCCCCAAAACCTTCCCCAAACCCGGTGACTCTGGTGGCTCTCGGTGACTCGTCTTCCCAATCCGGTCGACCGCTCCGAGCGTCTCAGCGGTTTCACTCCCATCATTCCACCACGAGCTCCCGCCATGGCGGAGCGCTTCGGCGATGACCGGTGCGTCGGGAAAGGACGAAAACGCCTTCGTCGGTGGATTCGCGAGTACTCTGAGTGAGTCTAGAGTTGGTGACGGGGGTCGAGTTGGTATGTCTCAACATCCAAGCAAACTGGTCCAGGTATGTCACAGTGTCCAGCTCATACTTTGGGATTTACATGGATACACATGTCACAACAAGGAAGATCAGCAGCCGGTTCTTGTGCCGATGAAGACTCGGCCGTCTTCCAAGAGGCTGTCAAATGATGTCACATGTACTGCACGAATCACACAACTTAAAGGAGTACCTCGCTGCGGGAATTACGGCTACATAACGAGTACTGCAATATACGAGTACTGCAACGCTCAGACGTGGGCCTCGTAAAGGCTGATTAAAGAATTTGCCCGAGTCACCTAGCTGCTTGCCGTTGCTTGACTTCTGCAGCTAAAAGGAACATCATCATCTTGGGCCAAACTGTTGGACATCTGGTGCCCGAAAAACGACGGCTCCGGAAGGAGGATGGGCTCGAACAGCTCACATATTGAAAACTATGTTATATATATATATAGCCTCCAAGTCCACAACAACTTATGTTTGCAAACCGTTGCAGCAGTAACAGTACCGTGGCACTGTCATTATGCACTTTTACTCCAAAAAATAATTGCAGATAATTGATATATAAGACATATAAGAACCAGGACCCTCCAAGGGGTGCCCAATGGAAGCCTATAGGTAGTGTTAGTGTGAGGTAGTCGAGCCAGGACACCCCTTGGAGGGTCCAGGAATAAGGCTTGCAGAACCTGCAATGATTTGAATCGTGACCGGAGTGGGTCAGCCGCCCAGACCGCTCCCACGTGAAGCCGCCCAGTGCCGGTGCCGACCCCTGGCACCGGCAGAGCGTCGTCTAAAAGGGGATGAGGCTGAGGGCATTGGTGCAATAGGTGGAAGCAAACAACACAACGAATTCAACAGCGGTATAGAACTTGTAGCTCACATGCAAAGAAAAAGAACCGAATCCAGGTCAGCAACATACACAAAATGTGCGGAACATCCAGCTACAAATCAAATCATCATCCAACAAAAGATCATACACCAGCGCCTTCAAAGTGGTCCCCTGGCTGGTTTCGCCCCAGCCGACTACTACCTCGGGACCTCCAGACAGGACACCCCTTGAAACGTCCGACGTCGTCACCCGCGGCGGTGGGCCACCGGGCTTTGCGGTTGCCCGGCGATCTGCGCGTGGCCAAAGAGGCAGCTGGTGGTAGCTGAGTCCGTTGGTCCAGCTACTACTCCGTTTGGTCAGATTTCATGAGATTTCTCAAGGTGTTCCGAGGTGTCTTCAACTTTGAAAATGCCGATCCAAAAGAGAGGGGGTCAACAGACGTCAAGCATTGGCCAACAGAACCGTCAAGCCTTGAAACTCGTTCGTTCAACAGACTTATTGTACACCCCCCTTCAAAGCATATCAACGCAGGCTGCAGGCTCCATTCTGAAAGGGAAGAAGGCGCCCAAGCTGGGCAAAAGCAAGAATTTTGAGGGATTGGTTCGGGTCAAGAGTTTGGTGACTGGGTGGTATACCCTCCCTGGAACTCATGTGGTGGAAGTGGATGGCGGTATGAGGATTTCATGGTCTTCCGAACTCGGCGCCATACCTTCCACTAGTTCCAGGGAGTGTCAAGTGTCTTGTTCCCGGCTGTGGCGGGTCCGACTTCTACTCGCCTGTGGCTGTTGATCAGAATCAACTGCTGTGGCTGCTTAGTCTTGTCGCAACAAACACCGTTTAGATCTTGTCCATCATGGGTTTTACTGCCTTCTACTGTACTTATGCCAGGACACTGGATCACCTAAAATGCATTGATTCTATCAGTTCAAGTGCTGTTACACATCTGTCCTTAAACCATAGAACCCACATGACATCGCCGCTGATCGTTTGCCACCTTAAGAGGAAATTCCACACACGCACAAAAAACGCACAACAAAATGAATCAAAACAAATAACAGCAACAGTCAAAGACCTGACATAAAATCCAAAGAATTCACACTTGACACGGTGGGGGGGGATGAACACGACCGACCTCTCATCCGACCGGCCTTGGCGAGGGCTTTCGCCGCTCCGGAGTGCCTGGCGCCTGCGACTGAGTCTGAGGGTCGGGGCCAACGGATGTGAGCCAAAGCAGTTCGTGGATGTGAATTGAATTCTGAATTTGTATTCATACTCATTGTTTAACGTTATGAATGAGTTTTCTGACGGGTTGAATGATGAAGCTGAGCTTGATGAGCTTGATGATGACGAATTGGGTCTATCCTAACACCTGTACCAGTGGATGATGATGGTTAGTAAGGCCTTGTTGAAACATAGTGATAATTGTTTATACTGACTGTTACAAGTAATAGGACAGACCCAATGATGAACATGAAAACAGTCCAACAGACCAAAACCGCACCAGTCTTCCACCCAGTTCACACATCAAGCCAACCCACGAAGAAGTGTTCCACCCCCAACAAAGAAGTCTCCAGGACCCCCCAGGAGTTGGGTGGTAGACATGGACACCCCTTCTTCACAGCTTTTCGGGCCTTTGTATATAAATAGACACCCCGACGGGAGGGTCCTGGCTGTGGCATTCCAACCGACCGGTCCACAGTGAGCCGGCTTACCACCTGTGGCTTCGACGACTTCGTCCGAGGCCGCTCGCCACCGCGAAAGACGGTGGTTCTTCGTGATCAATCAACGGCTCCATCGATGGAGGTCGAACATGATGACCTACTTGCGCTGCTGGATTTACTAGATACCTGCATCTTCCTTGAGGTGCTGAATTTTCGTCTGTGGAAGGAAAAGCTACTTTCCCTAGTACCAGCTCCAAAAAAAGATCTGCGGATCTTTTTCATGATTTTGGTGCTTTGCAAGGTTTTGCTGCAATTGGGGTTCGGCTCACAGTCGCCCTGGCATACTCATAATGTCAGTTGTAATTTGGATGATCATCTTTAGTGTTGGCAGCTTCTATCACCTTTGACATCAAACACGATACCTAAAACCCGCTCTGAAGGGGCGTGTCTCCAACCATGCTCCCAGTCAACCACGCTTTTCATCTTTTTCACATTCGGTGGAAGTCAATGGGCTCTTCCACCCCTGCGGTGCAATGAAGTCGCAGCTGACCTCGGACCAGTGCGCACTGTCAGTTCCATGAAGTTGGCAGTGTCTGTGTGCAAGGGTGTTATGAGGACTGTGTGTGTTTGTGCCTATCGTGCCTCAGCCGTTTTGAAAAGGAAGATCTATAGGGTTTTGGCTGATCCCCGGTCACCACGATGTCGAGTGAGTCAGTGGGGTCGATTGGGCCGATGACGGGGGATATCCCTCTTGGAGTGCTCGCCGACCTATGGGAGAATTCAAAACCGTGTCGGGCTCGGGTCATGGATGCTGAGAATGGACAGCTAACACGTTGGCCAAGCGCAACAACGGTTGGACTCAAAAGTGTCCATGCCATGTCTTTGAATGCTACAGCGCTGGAGGTCTTAGCCACGTGGTGGGTCACGGTGATGCCGGTTCCGAAGCCACCCTCTGTTGATCTACTGAGGAGGGAGGCCTGGGTTCCCACAACAACGATCATCTTTCAAGAATTCAATTCCCCCTAAGGGCTCAATTGTGTTGATAGTGGTTGTGTTGCCATGCAAGCAATCTATTTTGTTTACTGTGGCCTGCAATTGTCCCCAAGGTGCAACAATTGCGGGTTCTCTTGGGCAAGAACCCCAAGGATACAACAACGATACATGTGGATGGCAAGGGCTTGAAATCATTGTTCGCTCATGGAATCAAAAGGTTCAAGGATCGGACTGCAACACGCGAACCTTGTTTTCTATCAACAAGTTTTGCTACTCGTTTTTCCTTTCCCACTCTCATTGTTCTCATAAACCCAATGAACTTGGCCACACAATGGAACTCAAATCACTATCTTACAATAAATGTTGCTACCCAACTGCCACCCCTTCCCCGTCATGATGTTTCTTCCATCAAGCAGTGGTTTAGGAGCCTCGATTGGAGAATTTCTATGCGATCTTGGAAGCCCATTGGACAGTCAGTGACAGCGATCCCTATTTTGGAGACACTGATGACACCGAAGAGCCAGAGGACGGTGCACGTGCTGCGTCAGATTCAGCGCCTGTGGACCTGAGCAAGAGCTCTGAAGTGGTGGCAGTGGACTTGACCAATTGTTCTGACACACTGCCAACTCCTGAGCGGCCAAGTGTAGGTGCTGAACAGTTGGGTGACACTCTGGAAGATTCCCCATGGTCAGCGGAACCACGCAGGGTGGAAAGTCCTGACTCACAACCACAAGATTCGCCTTGGCATGCGACCCCTATGTCTGGGCAGAATTCTACTTCTATGCCTCCTCCAGCAGTCCCTTCAAAAAAGAGAAGCCCTGATCAGCATCAGCAGGCCCTCTATCCATTTGAGGATGGACTTCCTCGTGAGGAGGTCGAACGCCGCGTCCGCGCAAGAATCTTTGAGATCAAGTACCCTGGCTGCTCAGTTTAGGGTGTTTTTTACCCATGTGAACCCCCCAAACCTTTCTTTAAGAGAGTGAAGCTTCTGGAGGGTCTTGTTGATACCCCAGGGTTTAGAACTTCTGAAGGGGATTTGTTCCTCATCCATCTAACCACTGACAGGCAGCGCATGGCCACCGCAAAACACGCTGAGAGCCTGACAGCTTCAGCGAATGCCTCTGCCAAACCTCGGGAGCAACAACCACCATGCAACATGGCGATCATGAGTGTAATTTTTGTCAGTGTTTCGGGGGCAGCTTTGGTGATGTCCGAACTCTTGTTTTCTGGTATCCTTGCCAAACAGAGGCACTGATGCTATGGAGACTTTACCCATGACGGACAGCCAGGTGGAAGAATCATCCTATGCCTTGGCCAAAGAGGAAGCGGTCCCCATCCAGTCGCCCAACGGAAGAACTCAAGCCTTTCCACCACCTTCGTATATGATGCTTCGCCTGCAAAGAAGCCAGAACAGGCAGCAGCGGATGGCAATGGCAAACCTTCCGAACCTGAGGTCATGCATGATCCTGTGGAGACCAAGCCTGTGATTGCCAAGCCTGTGGATTCTGTGGAAACCAAACCTCTGGAGACCAAGCCTGTGGATCCTCTACAGACCAAGCCTGTGGATCGTGTGGAGCCGGAGACCAAGCCTGTGGATCCTCTAGAGACCAAGCCTGTGGAGGAGCTGGAGACCAAGCCTGTGGATCGTGTGGAGCTGCTGGAGACCAAGCCTGTGGATCCTC